AATACAGCTCAAGGTAGAGTTTCAGAAGAGATTTCAGAGAGATTAATAATGAATCAAAAAGACCCAATAAATATCGCCAATAACTGATTCAAGCTTGATTGAACTATAAAACTTCTGCCTTAGTAATAATTACAGCATACATTTGAAAACACGCTGCTGTATTTTCCTGCCAAACGATGAGAAAAGCCGGATTGTCCACTGCAATACCTAACAGCAAGCTACTTTAGACGACGGCACATCAAGCCAAACACTGTGGCATCTTATGAAGTTGTAATAGAGGCCAGTTTGCAATAAATATGTATATTCTGTAGTGCCGTAAACTGTGTGCACGCGTCAGGATGAAATTTTCTCCCATTTTCGCCATACCGCGCGATAACCGTCACCGCCCGCCCCGGGGAATTTGGTGCCCACAGCTTTCGCATGAAACGAATTTCATAGCCATCGATATTAGGCTACTCTTTGAACTACGCTATTGGACGACATATCGCAAACAACCATTTGTTTTTACTAGAAGTCGGAAAACAACACAGATTTCAGGTACTCATACTCGTAGGGGCATTTTGAATTTCTAGTAGTATTTCTACATTTTTGTGAAACAAAACTGTACTACTTTAGTTAATGTAACTTAATTTGGTGATTATTATATAACGTCTATCTCACTGTCGGCAACATAAAAAGTAGAAAATACGGAGAACGGGCCTACCAAGATTTGTAAAATAAATATGAAAAATAAAGCGCTTAATTTTAATACTTTACCTTATTATAAGCAGAGTGCATCTATGCGTTCATGCCTCTCATATAACTAGAACATGTGTGAACTTTGAAGGATAGATACACAGATTTAACACAGTTTGCCTTAGTCGCTACACTATACAGTGAAGTTGAATACTTTACTGTATACTAAAGCAAACTTGTATGAGAAGCTTACGAAGATTTGCTTGACTGCAACAGAACGTAACAGGAATTTATGTTACCGACAAGTTACATCCCTTTCACACAAGTTAAACATAAGTAGAGTTTCAAATATGTAAGCTCTTGGAGCAATGAATACACGTTGCTAAATAAATTCAGTCAGACAAATTAGTTTGCGATCTCACAAATTGATGCAACATTTCTGTAGAGCTTTGAAAGGTACCCAGAACTGTTTTCATGTTTTTAGTTCATTTTAGTCAATTTCTGGAATATAACGTCACAATTGGATTGTAAGCTCAAAATATAGTGTTCTGATCTGAGTATTGTGTTGACTGTGTTTATTTTGAGACCTCGCTGTAAGGAGCTTATAGCTTACACGGTAGGAAGCTTATATTGCATTAGGAAACTACAACTTACTTGATTGTGTATGTATGTATGTAGTACCCACGTATTATTACGAGTACTACGTTCATGAAATCTGGGAAAGCTACTTAGAATAGCAGAAAGTTTTTCGGAGTCCTAAACAAAATTATTTGAATTCCTTCCTCCTTTCTGCTGATGCATGAACTTATGTCACAACAACTCTGATGTTTTCTGTTTAGCAATAGGCAACAATCGGTAAAAGTGACTTTGGTCATGTAGGTTTATACAACAATGCTTAATTACGTTTTGAGTTGTAGTTGAAACTACAAATTATAACTTGGTGCCATGCATCATCAGATCAATTAAAAATATGAAAGCGCAGCCTCCGATAACTGCATTTACCGACAAAAGAGGGTTCATCAAACAATTTACAATCTATGCGAGTACTTAGGTAGTTTTAGCACTGGGAAAGGGCGCATCCCTTTGTGCTCTACCAGGTACACGTCCAGTGCCCGCGAATTAATGGGAATTATTTTCCCCCTCAAATGACGGTGTGCCTTTCAAAATATTGACTCACTCCGGCCCTGGCGCGGTCTGCCAATCGCTCAATTAATTGTGATTTAGTCCGTCCCTGTATGATACTACAAAACAAAGCATTTCACGTTTAGAGCTTTGAATTTCAAACGTAATTCAAATTCCTGGAAACTATTGAAGGTTATTAAATGGAGTATACTCGTAGCTTGTTTGAAATGGAATTTGACTGTAGCCCGTAATATTAAATTTTTATTTACGTTTATCTTTTTGAATGCTTTATTAAATGCAATCCGATGCGATAGCCAATTCGAACTGACTGATACAAATCTATCAGATTGATAGGTTTATCTACACAAAACAAGAAAATAAAAAGACTCATAAAAAACGATACAGTTTAGGTAATCATATAAAGGGATAGTATAAAGGGATCTCTTCCAAACCACCTAGGGAGAGGAAAATTATTGTTTGAAATAAGTAAAAGATAATGTAAGAGGATGATTTTTTTATTATTAAGCTTTATTTTGGTTGGGCGTTGCATCAAAATGTAAAAGGCAATCAATATTCCTGTCATTTATCCACTATATTGTTTCTCCCTGCTGCCCCTCTGATTATGTATTCTGCGTTCGCGCGACGCTATGAACTGAAATCAACTGAAATAATTTGGGGTTGCATTCATAACGTCACGTAGGCAGTCTGTTTTCAAAATGTATCTAGTTTGTATAGTTGTCCAGGTTCTTTTGACATATGAATACCAACTATCTTTGTCCTCTTATACCTACTTAATAAGTGCAACCATAACCAGTGCTTTTTGTACGGATTTTCACAGATTTTAGACATTTGTCAAAGTTAAAGTAATATGGTGCAACTCAGCCTTAAATCTACACTAATTTTATAAATGCGAAAGTAGCTGTCTGTCTGTCGGTCTGTCACGCTTTCTCGCCTAAACCACTGAACCGATTTTGATGAAATTTGGCATAGAGATAGTTTGAGTCCCGGGAAAGAACATAGGATAGTTTTATCCCGGTTTTTGAAACAGGGACGCGCGCGATAGTTTTTCTGTGACAGACAAAATTCCACGCGGGCGAAGCCGCGGGCGGAAAGATAGCCCTACTTATATTTTGGGTACCTAATTAGGAATTTCATGCTTACAAGAAAACACTATTTAAATTGTGATACCTATAGCTATAGCTATATGAGCGCAAATTACCATAATGTAGTGAGAGTCATTTCCTCAAAATCCTGTAAAAGATTTAATTACCTAAAATACCCATATTTTATAATTCTATTCAGATATGATCCGATAACTGTTATTTCTACAGCAAGTTTAGTACAGTTTTTTTATAGAAACAGTATGTCAGTATAAAACAGTTCAATAATAATTATCAAGTGAAAAGTTATATAGCGATTAAAATTTTAAGCCCTTAATACTTCTCCTACCCTCTACGAGAGCGTGTGTAGTAGACACATGCCGTCTTATTAACTGAGTGTAAGTATCCCTTACATAATATTGACTCAGTCCATCCCTGAAGCTCGGAGACGCGTGCGCTTTGAGAGGCTACTATTTAGATCCAGCCCTGTGCAACCATTGAGCAAACACTGTTACAAACTCTCCGTACGACTTCAATCTACTGTTTGATTACGCGTCTCTACATTGTAAGTCCTACTTCTATGTAAAGAAAGAAAGTAATAAAGAAAGAAAAGAGAACCAAGAAACTAATATGTCTGCGAATTCGTCCACGTACACGTATGTTTGTGGCAATTGGAACTGAAAATTATGTAAATGCATGCATTCATAAAGATTTTTTATTGATGATTGATTTACTCAACAAGAGATTGAACGGTCTCAGTCCTTAACATTTGTTCACTTTACAATTAATGGTATCAATGTTGTTTCGTTTCATTTGTTACAAAAAATCTATTACCTACCGCAGAAAAGTGGAACTTGACAAATCAAATATCTCTATGATTCTTAAGCTGAGTTGCACCACCTAACTTTAAGCCGTAACTATAACGATAACCGGTGTTTTTGTATGGAGTTTGACAGATTTTTCGTTTTTTAAAGTTAAAGTAAGATGGTGCAACCCAACCTTAAAGTTAACCGCAAAGGAGAGCAAGTTTTGAAGGTATATGTATAGAGTAACCGCCTCTGTGGTCTAGTGGTAAGACCTCCTGCTTCAGACGCAGAGGTCCCGGGTTCGATTCCCAGTAGGGGCAGACTTTTCTGTTCGGTTTGGTTGGTGGTAGGGCTTGTCCTAAGTCCGCCTGGCTAGCTACCATCATCTTACCTAAGTCTGTCGCCATAACAACTATGTTAACAGCATTGTTGTGTTCCAGCAGTTAGAGGTAAGATAACCAGTTCCTCCGTGGTTGAAGATTCCGGGTAAAGCTCGCTTCTACCTTCGGCCTGATCGTCACTTACCATCAGGTGAGATACAGGCCAAGAGCTTCCTCGTTGTTGTTAAAAAAAAGTAATAATTTTACAGCTAACAAACAAAACATCGTTTATTTATTTCACCATATAAAAGTAGGAAGTAAATACCTGAAGGTACCTCTACAGGTAGCAAATACCTACTTCTATCGCTTCAAATGTTCCCAGTACAGACTTGAAATAATAAAAGCTTCCGCTAAGAATTTCCTCCGACGACTAGTCGACACTCGACGTGCATAAATGGCACTTAGACTGAATTTTTAACCTACTTCGAAAAGGGAGGCTTTCAATTTGTGACAAGTTCTAGGATTTTTCATGATGAGTCACTGAAAATACATATTCCTTATTATTTTAGTATGATGGCTATAACTTATCATTTCATATTTTATTTTAGCAAAATCGTTTACAGAAGCGAAAAAAAGACAGTTTTAAAAATTGTAATATAACGTAAATGTAATTTTTTTGGGTCTAAAATGACTCCTTATAAACAAACTGTTATTTAATATGTTCGAACCAAATAAATGTTTTTCTTTCTTTATCTCTTTACTTTAACAAAGTTAAGAGGCATTTTGACATCTATGTGTCGTTATCATTTTAAACATTAAAACATGTAGATTCCATAATGTTTTAATTGTACAAAAAAACATAATCAAATCAACTGTAATTACAAACAAAATCATGCAAATTAGTTCAATGGAAAACGCGATCGCGAGATAAACGGCGCGGTTTCTTATCATTATCGATATCAATGAAGACGCTGCGCTAGCGCATACAAGTACAGCGGGCCGCGCGTGCACCTCAGTCTGCCGGCAACCGCGACGGGAGACGCACGTATCTTTCGCGCGCGGACCGAAATATCCTCGTGGCCGACCGCGTGTCACATCGACTAATATGGTGAGTGCTCCTATTAGAATACAGTGCAATTTTAAACAGTGATTTTATGAATTCTCATAATTTTAAAATACAACACACGTGGTGCGTTTCCGCGAAATTGCCATGGCGTGCAGAATTTTCTGTTTCCTATGCAAATTTTATGGAGTATAACTAAATTAAATTCTAAAACTCAGTTTCTCGATACTTTAAACGTATAAGGGCAAGTTGTAAGTGTCTATAATCCGTATTATTTAATTTATTATTAACGAATTATTTTATTTTTAATGGCTTAATTTATTGACGCACCCACGTAAATTTTATTAATTATGTTTATTTACTTATTTAAGGACAGCTAACATAACATACGCCTTAGCATTACAATAACGATATAATGTACAGTGGACAAATATAAAAGAACTTACTACATAAAGACATAGTTAAATTCTAATATTTAAACATTACAACCACCAATTTATAATCCGGCGATATATTTTTTATGCTCTACATAATCGCCAAAATGCAAAAATCCTTTTGAAGATTAGAAGACCGCCAATTTTTCGCAGTCCAGTGTACTAACATAACAAATAACATAATATTCATGAGTTAATTGTTTTCATCTGTAAGTAATTCAGGTGAAAAACGTGTCTCAAACATTAATTTGTATTTCACTTATCTTTATTGTGATGATAAAGGCGCAAGGTGAGGAAAACACATTTTGTCTACCGTGCAAAAAACAATATGACTTTGTGGATGATAATTTGCTTAAATTGCATGAAAATACAGACCACGTATTCTTACAATAAGTCTTTTCATCTAACTTGCTGGCACCATCTAACTTTAACCATAACTACAACAATAACCGGTGCTTTTTGAATGAGCTTCGACAGATTTTTGATGTTTGTTAAAGTTAAAGTAAGATGATGCAACCCAGCCTTAGCCTTTTCAGTCTCAAAAAACGTAAACGTTTTGATTTTTCTGACCATTTAACGCCACCGATCGCAAAATCTTTTGATGCAGTGTCAAGAAAAACATCTTAAAAACTCGTCACACCACACTACGTAGAGTGACCATAAAAACAAAATTAATAGAATAGTAGAAGTTCTAAATTAATATCCATTTCGTACCTTGCGAAACCAAAATGCCGACTCTTGTAGAAACAAACCTCAATAAAACTGATCTAAAACTGCGAGTAATAAAATTGTAGAGTCATAGACAGCACTCGTATTGCTCTCAGACAGTTCCCGATCAATATTCACATGACTGACTTTCCCTCAGTGCTTTACCTGTATTTTGGTATCTCGTAAGTGTCAACATAGACTATTAAAGAGACACTTTCTGACTGTAGAGTCAGGACTCAAGTAGTAAATCACTTGTTTATAGTCGTCTATTTCGAAAATTATGTTTTAGGTTGGTACGAAAAAAGGTTCTACAGTAAAAAGCTTTGCGTTAGGCTCAGCCTCTTTACTAATAACATAATAACAATAACTAATGGTAAATTAGCAATAAGTAAAATTTTTTAAGATCATTTTAACTGCGGCTATGAGTCTACCTTCGTAATTTTTGCTTTTTTACATCATTTTTTTATAAATTTTTATCAAACGAAAAAAAGGAGTAAGTAGTGCAAAACAGTGGAATTTTTATTCTTACAACCTGGCTAATTCAAATTATTTACCACAAACATTTAACATTGCTAGTGCAATTGTAATTACACTAATTAATACGTAGTATATTATCCAAATGCTGGCATTTACTTGTCTTTCATCATTATCTAAGGTCCTTTCAAGGATAATTAGCGAATGAAATAAAATAATCGGCTCAACGAAACCAAATTATTCGCATGAACGACATAGGTAGGTACCTACTGTGAACGATTTACAATGTGAAACATCTTCCTAAGTACTTGAACTTACATTACCATTCATTTCGTCAGTATCATAATGAACCTGGCAATAGGTAAGTTTAATTATTCTATAATAAAGGTTACATTAATCTTTTAAATAAAACTAATACCCGCTCTTGCTTTCCTATTCATCTACATTAATATTATAAAGAGGAAAGATTTGATTGTTTGTATTGCTTCTAAACTACTGGACCGATTTGAAAAATCTTTTTCACCTTTACAAATCTACATTATGATGAACACAGGCGGTACGAAGTTCGCTGTGTCAGCTAGTAAACAATATTCAGCTACTGAAACAAATAATATAATAATTATAATATTCTCGTAATAATCAGGTCGCGTCTACGTATCAAGGCTTGCTCTATTATCCTCTTATGAATAAAAGTAATATGATCCAAAAACATTAGCACCGAAAAACACGTATTTGGGGTGACAATAGAGGCAAAAGTATCTCTAATTAGAACAGCCTTTCTTATCCAATATTATCACAAATCAGGAAGCAAAATAATTGAAGCTAATTTGCAGTTAGAATCACACGAATAAGATTTACCTTCTTCCCGAAAACCAAATCATTTGTCTTTACGATAATCAGGTATTATCAAAATTATCAGTCATCATTATACGAATACTTCATATTTTATGTACCAAACCTGAGAAAGTAAATAATTAATTTACTTAAAATTTCAAAACTAAACAATGCTATGACGTGATGTTATTATAAATATGTAAATTATGTAGAGTTATAATTGCGAAACATATTTATAACATTACTTTCGATTAATGATTCATTTGTTATGTTTGGACTTATTCTTAACAAAATGGATGTATTTTGAGCAATTATCGAATATGTAAAATAATACAAAAAATATAATTAAAACCTTAAAAAGTGCGAAACTAGAGCTACGTACGTAGGTACAGTCTCAGAAACCGAATTTTTGGACAAGAAATATTATTGCTCTTTGAAATGTAGTTTCTAGTATACCTAAAAGAACGCAATGCGTATTTCAAATATGTAGGTATGTACACAAAACTTACTTGTTTGAACAAGGAACCACTTTATCTTTAACTATCTTTATTGTTTTAATCTGCGTGTTTAATATTATACAAGATGCCGTGATAACAACGTTTTTCACTGTTATCACGGAGTTATTTCTTTGATATAGTAGAAAGAATTACGGTAATTCGACAATATGAATTCAATTATTAAAACTAAGTAATCTACTGCCAATTTGATACTTACGGGCTTTATTGCTCAATTTGTCATAATTTTATCAGCACATGTTTGCAACATAATTTGAGTCCTGCGACTGAAGAAAAACAGTGGAAGAAAAACTATATAAAAATTTAAACCAGCGACTTGGCCCATGGACCAAGCTAAAAGTGGGCCAAGTCACGGGAAGACTCCATATTTCTTGTCATTAACTATTTTTCTCTCTTTCGTATCCTTAGCATAAAATATTTTTCCAGTTCACTATCCCCTATTAAACTAGTGAAGATGTTATTAGGGTTTTAAAGACTGGTATTTTGTGATCGAGGGTTGAATTGCGTTGCCTTGGATACAATAGGGGACGAAAGGGGAAAATGTTGCTAGACGTCACTCAACAACGTCTGCATCCGAGACACAATGTCGCACGTGCACTTGCTTTAGATATAGCTGGATTTAGATGCTTCACGTTCTTTGATTAATCACAGTTCGCGTAACTTAAAGCATCGCGCAGTCTAGTGTGAGGCAAAACTTATAGTATGAGCTAAGCTGTCAGTTTTTGTAACTAATAAAACTGAATAAAAGTGACGCAAAGCTTTAAATGTATTTTAATAAACTTCTCTTTGATTGCAAAGTGAAGTACTTTATATTCAAAATATTGAGACAGTCATACAGTGGCTGAAACATCACACCTCGCTGCTAAGATGTTTTTTGCCTCGCTGTTGACATTTTAGCTATTCATAAAAATGCTCATTTTGAGATGAGATCTTGGGTGTCTGTCTAACGATCCTAAAGCTCTAGGTCTCATCCAAAAAAGTTATTAGTCCCATCATTAGATATGTATTATTTAGATTTGGGTAAAATAGCTAATGGTAAAAAGTGATTGTGTAGATTTTTTATACCATATTTACAAAAATGACAGCTTATATTAGCGCTACGTAGATTAAGCGCTGCACAGTGCACGTCATGTTGGGCCACTTTATAATCCCTAGTGAGTTCGGGGCCTAATCACGCAATTTCAATCACACATAGTATCGCCGAAACGCTGCGGTAACGATGCGGTCGGTAAACCATTAACCGGTGCTAAAAGTAGCGCCATAGCGCGTCTGCTATGTGCTATACAGGGTGAAATTTAAGTCATTGGCATCCTTTTAATATAATGCTGGGTTGCACCATCTTACTTTAACTTACACAAACGTCAAAAATCTGTCAAACTCCATACAAAAAACACCAGTTATCGTTAAAGTTACTGTGAAACCTAACGGTGCCGGTGGTGCAACTGAGCCTAAGACTCTACTCATGAATGATACATAGTGCATTCCTCAAATATGAGACAAATCCAATGAGATTTTTGGTCTTTACTTTTACTTGTATTAGTGTGCTCTTATAAAGAATTCCAAAGTATTGTACAGTAAAAGCATTGTTGCAAAATAAAAATGTTGCAATACATCGAAATAAGATGCCACAGTAATAAGCTTGATGTGCTGTCGTCTGTACAAGATTTTAATTATTTGAATTTACTTTGTATCATAAGTAGAGTCTTATTTTAAAAGGATGCCAACGATTTAAACACCCTGTAGTTCCTTTTATCTGACAAAATAGTAAGACAAGACAATCACAAAAACAATTAAAATGATAAGTAGCCACGTTATCAGCGTACCTGACCCGTTGAACAAATTTAGAAATGTCCCATTGCATTCTTCAGAGTTGACTTACTCGTATTTGTTCTTCGTCACCTGTCCAATCATGCCCTACTTCTCGTGTAGAATCTTGACAGTAAACCTTCGTTACACTCACAGACAAAATGATATAGGTACATAATTCAATTTGCTGTGCCCTACCGTCTATGGTGTATGTATAATCAATAAATGAGTATTTTTGGTCTATTATTGTTATCTTTGCTTCACACAATCCCTT